TTAAAAGATTGGGGTAATTGGTAAAGGTGGTTATTTCTTACCTTCCAACTGGTAAATTACGGTAAATTTATTCTATTCTATTTACGTTTATTATGTATGCTATGTTTTTATTAGGGTGTTTAGAAATAAATTATTGTAGTAATTGTTACCCTAGTTCCCATCTGCCTTTGTCTTTCGTTCACACTTTTATTGTTTCCCTTATGTTGTAGTACAACAAGTAAGGAACCACAAAATATCAAATAAATAAGACGTATAGAATAGCGCTAGACCAAATTTCTCCTATAATGCGCTTTAAATCAAATACCGTCTTTCTATTGCATACGCAATAAAAGGAACGTGCTATCAAAATTCAAATAAATAATTTTAGGTGTTCTAAGACGCTTAACCTGGATTTGTAGTGTAGATTTTTCACGATTTTCAATCTGAAATTCAACCATTTTCACAAAAAATCGCTGTTGCTTGTCAAATTCAAGTTTTATTCTAAATATGATATTCTTCACGATTTTCAGTCTGAAATTAAATTCAATCATTATCACAAAAACCATAGTCGCTTGTCAGATTAAAGTTTTATCTTATTATGATAATTAACAATTTCATCGTTTATTGACGAGTTGTGGCATAAAATCAATAAATTATATATAATAAGTAATTGCGTTTAAAATTTCCGACACAGACTCGTATTTTAAAGGCATTTTATCAAATACCGCTGTCGATTGAATGCGATTATGGTACCATAACTAGAGGCAAACAGTCGTTAGGAGTGCTATATTCTCTAAATGTGTAGTCATAACAAAGACAAAAGACTATATGTGAACAAAATGATAGAATCCAACGATAAACGGCTTTATTTTAAGAAATACAAATGTAAAATGTTGAATATACATTATTTCAATCAAATAGAGACTTTGAAATATAGTTTGTGTTCTTGAAATTTTAAAGAATATATTTATTTTGTTTTATTTCTATTCTATTTCGTTTTGTATTTATTGGGCGCAGTGTAATAAATTATTCGATCTCATATTCATGTATGTATATGAAAATTTATTCATGTATGTTTATGAAAAAACGGTCAAACATTGTTTTCTGAACAATTGACTGTTCTGAGGTAAAAAAAAAACAATATGTCGAACCAGTAGTCGTCGAACTTCTGCCTGTACGGATAAAACACATTACTGACACGGTTGCTCTACCTACTGCACTAACAACGCAAATGATATAGTGTAGTTTTATTTTCATTTTAATAGGTTGTGGCATTGATCTGCCTAACTTCTTTTTCGCATTGTTATTGGTCTTTGTTATATAAACAAAGGCTCAAGTTATCATCTTATAGTACGGGCACGATAAACAGAACTTTCGTCAGTTCTAAAGATACGAGCACAGTCCATTAAAAGATTAACACAGGTAAACATAGGTAAACTGCAAGTGATTAACCAACTAATTCGTTAAAAATTATACAAATTTATTTTATGAGATATTATCTTTGTTTGACTCTATAGCACAGTAAGTAAAACCGCTTATTAAGTTCAGCTAGTGGTTTCGAAACCTGGTGGAAATCATTTTTTTAATCAAATATTTATTTTTGTTTCTTAATTATTAGTAGTTTTTTAATTGCTGACAAATAAAATTTGATTACGCATATGAACTTAATGATAATGTATTTTTGTCTCTTAAAATTTCTTAAAATATTCATACATTTATAATAAGAAATTAAAAAAATATTTATAATAAGAAATCCGAGATCCGGACCGCAAACATATATATATATAAAGATATCTTTCTTGCATATTCTATTATTTTTTAAACTCTTAACCATAAAACATTACATTGAAATTTATGTCATTACACTTGTCACTATTTTCTTACATTACAACTTCATTCATAATGGCAATTACGTCATCCAAAGTGTGCCATTGTACAGCACGCGACTCATCTGGCACCCCACACCAAATGAAATTTCCGGGATGAGTAAAACTAACAGAAAGGCCAGTCTGATATGCAAGAAAGTGGAATAAATGAGATGAAGATACTTCGATAAAAAAGTTACATAAATAAATCAATCAAAATAACAACGCTTTATGGAGTTTTGTACATAAAGGAGAAAAAAATAATTAAAAAAAGAAAAGAAAAAATTTGTTTTAAACCTACAGTACCTAAAGGATGTGCAACAATAAATTTATCTATATGGTCTTAAAGTGGACTGTTCCAAACTATAAATAAATATGAAGAAACTTCTGTGTATCGCACTCGGATTATAGGACAGTACGTATGAACCGAGGGCGGAGTTTCTCATGCAAACAGAAATAATTATTATTGTACTTCCGATTTCGCCACAATGAGGTTGCCCATTTTTTATGCTTATAAAACTTATTTTGGTTGTCTTGACATTAAAATAAATCTAGAGTCGATATGAAACCAAATTTATTTATAAAATGTCGCCATTTCTGTTTTTATGAAATGTATTTAATGTAGCTTTAAATATCATTCTTTTTTTTTCTCCTTGAAATGTCTAGAATTTCTTTTTCAAATACGATTCTGCAATTAATGTGTTTGGTTTACATATGTTTTACTTTTTTTTCCCTCAAACAAATAAATAATTAAAAAATAGGAAGACGGTATGCATTAAAGTACTATGTAACATCTGCAATTTAATTAAAAAATATTTATATGTCTTGATAAATTAACTTTCAAGTTAATTAACATTTTACACATATCACTAACGTGACAAAGTCAATTGAGTGTATTTTTCCACATAAATACTAATCTGTGTTTGTTATAGAACATTTTCAATGATTGTGTCGTAAATTACAAACGAATATGCGTCTAAAAGCACAAACTCGTGAATTAAATCGATCGTGTTGTTGTAGAAAAAAATTTGTATGTGAAATGTATGTTTGCACGACTGACAAAATGAAAATATACCGTGTTTAGATTTCCCCGCTTTTTCATTTTATGGTTGCTACTATAAAAATGATTTTTGTAACAGGTTGTGAACCAATGCTTTTGGAAGATATTGGAGCCGGGAGAGTGATGGCAACATCTGGCTGTGTCTCTAATGTCACCCACGTCTCGTTTAAATGGATAAAAATATCAGTTTGTGTCTTGCATTATTTTAACTTAATACTTTTTATCATTTATACTGCGTCAAAATGAATACTCGTATATACTTGTATATAAGTTATTCAGAATTTTTTAATTCAGTTGTCTATGTGTAGGTCCAAAACTGAAAAAAACAGGTATTTAAAACTGTTATACAAGTTGCATTAGACTTGCGCAATTCATTTCATATTTTGACACTTATCTTCAATTATACACAGCAAACATGCAAAACGTACGTTTTAAGTTGTTGTTTTAATTTATTAATAAAAACATGATAAACAGCCTCGTTTCCTCTAATGTAATTTACTTTATAGCAGTATTTCGTAATTTTTAGAGAATTTTTTTTTTATTGCAGACGATAAATGGCATTGAGGAGGAATTTATTCCAACAATTAAAAGCAATTACTCATCAAAATGTTCTAATGAATCTGATTGCTGGATTGACGAACACATGCAGTATAATGTGATAATTCAAGCCAGTCAAAGTGATAATGGACAGTATTATTTAAAAATGATAGCTATATATGGAAATGAACTAAAAGAATCAAGCAATACTTATTACAAGTACATTATAGACGGACAGGATTGTATATATCTTATCCCTTTATTTATATTTTAATGTTAATATACGTTCTGTATTGAAGATAATTAGAATGATGAACAAGTTTCTTACCATTTGATTTTATTATAAAAACTGCCGTGTAGTCGATCCTGTTTTAAATTTGCATCTATCACAACACAAGACAAGGGTTTTATTATTTTAATATCAGTGGTCATTTTGAATTGAATTCATGCATAAAAGAAATATTTTTCTTCTATTCTTATTCTTAATTTGTACAATGAATGCTTACCTTACCATATTACCAGTCTTGCACTAAGTGTGACATGTCAATACAATTTGAAGTTGTTGAGGTGTGGTGAAAATTGAAATACAAAATGTAAATGATATCATTTGCAGTTGAAGTTGAAGATCACGACATATCTACACAACATCTTGCTACAATTATCATGGTTGCTGTTAGCATTTGTCTGTTATATTTTGCATCGATGTGGTATTGCCTGCGCAAAATAAAGTGAGTTTGTTTATTCTAATTAACCTAAATATACTAATCTAAAACAGTTTCAATAGAAGGCAAACGTACAAACTTAATATTTTATTTTAAAGTAAAAAGCTATATATCAATAAACTTCATTTGTTTATATATATATATATATATATATATATATATATATATATATATATATATATATATATATATATATATATATATATATATATATATATATATATATATATCTGCTTATGCTTTTAATGTGATATCATGGCATTGTTCTTTACATAAATAATAATTATTTTCCTTAATCCCCTTATTCTTTTTAGAATACGTTATAATAAACAAAAAAGTTATATAAGATATACACATGGGCCCAGTTGTTCAAAACTTTTGTTAACTTTAACAACAAATTAACTAAACAGTTGTTAAATTTTAATATTTTCGTTAGCTAACGAAATGCCAAAAATTGAGATGTTCAGAGCTGTGTTAAATTTTGTGTTAGTTAACAAGGCGTTAAAGTGCTTAACATTTTGTTAACTAATTAACAAGAAAAATTAATCCCACAATGCAGTATGTTTCTTTCCTCCACAAAAAACAAAATGGCCGATAACTGTCCACTTCAATAAGAAATACTTAGAAAATCAGCTGATGTACATTGTCTGCAAAATACAGCTGAGTCATAGACTAATAAAATATGAAAACTCATGTAATATGATAAGTTTTTTTTGGCTGTTTGGTCATGAACATACTGTAACCAGAACCCCAGTATGTCATATCTACATGAAACTATGAATAGCTACCTTGACTGACTTGAGAGTGATTTATTTCATAGTGTACAGTTTATACACAGGAAGACATATTTAAAGTTATTTTACCTTCATATTCTTTGTGTAATGCCAGTACTATATATAACTGGTTACTTTGTGATTTCTGTGCATATTACATGTAGAGCAGACTCCACCAGACTTGATCCTAATTTGATCCTAATTCCAAGTATCTTGTGAAGCATTTGACAATGTAACATACATTAAATATGCATTCTGGTCTGATAAATATTAACCAGCCAACTTGCATATAAAACAAACAGTGCTTGCCATTCATCTTTTTAAAATGTTCCCGCGTTTACACTACACAACCTTTTCCCACATGTATTATATTTTCCTCGTTTTTGCATCTTTATCAGTGTTTATTCCATAATGTTTGTTAAATCCATTTGTGAAATATCAAAACTGGGTGTTAAAAAACATGTTAGCCAAGTCTGAATGATCAATTCCATTTTTTAACACTTTTTAACACTTATAATTGTAGCTGTTGACAGTAAACAACTTGCAGTAGAAGCCATTTTTATTTATGTTGCATTGTGGTAATTGATGACTCAATGATGAGTCAATTACAGGTCAGACTACCCTATTGTTTTTACTTCCATATGCTTATGTTATAAGCATGTGTGGAGACTAGGCTTATAATTTTATCATCGATTTTACTAAATAATGGCCCTTTGTTAAAAGTTTGTGAACTTTTTTTGTCTTAAGGATTATACATGAAGTTCACTAATTCAGGTCCACAATCATTGCATGGATTTTGACTTATCTATGAACATTTTCAACTTACAACTTGTATGGTTAAAATTGTGCATGCATCATCAATATTCAAAACTGCTGAGTGTATTAAATGAAACAAAACTTTATTCATGTCTTGAAATTAAAATTCCTTACAAAGACCCATTACCTTGACATGGATTTTAACTGAAAAATGCCCATTTTAACAGAATTAAATAAAAGCTTGTTCACAAAATTACAAAAGCTCATGAGTGATGGTATATCTTGTCTTAAATCAAAGGACACCTTCAACTTAACATTTTCTTATCTTATTAATGAAGTTATTAATTGGCATTGTATTAACAACCAATTTGTATATTTGAGTCTGACTGGTTTGTGCATGTAAATATCAATAGGCTATCTTATTTCCTCATTTCAATAGATATGATGTCTTAAAATGTTTGAAGAAGAAAATGTTAAGTGTTTTTGTATATCTATCAAACAATTATGATATGAAGTATATTTAACAAATAGTATAAATTGCAGTATGCTATAATGCAAAGCAAGAATAGCATAGCATTAGGTTCAAAATATACACATTTACTCTCAAAATTTCAGCAATATGTAAGCCAGTTTATACAATTTTAATTTAATTATGTATATAATTATCTATATAATGCCTAGTGCTCAATTTTACCACACACACGTATTGAGATCATAACTGTTAAGTTCCTAAAGATGTTCTTATTGTTTGACAGGTTTGCATGGTTATTTTACAATTATGTAGATGAAACTTTTAAAAACTTAATTGGACATCATTTACATATGTATTTATATGATAGAGATTTTGACCCAAAACAGCACTATAGTTTTAACATTTTATAAGAATCACTATTGACTTGCATAAATTAGAAAATGTGTTTTGTTTTCTCTTCCCACCTACAATACAAAGTGAATTTGCCTCTTTTCCAAAATATTATTCTCAAAATTATGATATGTACAAAAAAGATCTCAAAATTATCAAATACTCCACTGTTTACATATAATGCATGATGGCCTGTTACTGTCAATATTAATATCATTGAATAATGTACAATAAAAGTCCAATGTCTTTAAATTTGAAATATAAAACTTGCTTTTAATGCACTCATATAAAAAAAGAAAATTAGAAGAAGTTTCCTACATAAATGCCAAACCCTAATTTATTTGAGTTGGAAAGGGGAGACATATTTTTATTCATGTTGGCCTTATTGAAAATAATGAAATGGTGAATCATGGAGCTTTATATTACTTCATATTTGAATCCATTGTTTATATAACATTTATATAGATAACTTAATCAACTCTTACATTCGGTAAAAAATGAAAATAATGTTTAAAGTTAATGAGACAGACTATTGTAAAAAATAATAGGAAGTTAAACACTTTTCAACATTACTGATATGATCAGTTGTTGTTCTATAGAATTTAGAAAGGGCAACTGCATGGTATTCAGTACTCTCAAGAGGTGTCCTTTTATGTATGAAATATTAATGTATGAATCCCAATATGAATTTAGGAAACTATATCATATACTATCTAAATGATATGATAATATTATGTTATAATAAGTTACCCAAAACAACAGTATAAGATAACAGTATTGTAAACATACTACAATACTCTTTTTAAAGTAACTTAAAATGTGAGCATTGTCTGAGTGTAAATCCAGTTAGTTATAAGTATTGAACCATTGCATTACAAACATACTTTCTGGTTTCCAGATGATCATGGCAGCTTATAACTATATATATATAGTAACTACAATTTATCACACTGTAATACCACATTTGACAATTTATTATTTGGCACAAAACTGACATCAGACAAAAAAATACAAATAAACATATGAGACAATGGTCCTGTGAACGTTGCCTTTGCCTTGTTGATCTTTATTCTTGTTATTAAATGATTTTAATAAGATATTTAAAGTGAAGATTTAAACTGACAAAACAAACAAAAAAACAAGCAATAGTTAACCAACCAAGTAGAAGGGTTTTTGAACAAAGCAGTATGGAACCAGTGGTGTCAGATTTTGGTAATCAATCCTATACCGGTATATGGTTTTACACTAGCAGTACAATATTTTGTCAGCTTGTTACTCTAATGATCCAAAATAAGGTAGAATGAGGTAAATACATTTGTTAAGTGAAGTTCAAGAAAGTCAATTAAATCACAGGCAGGAATAAATTTATGTTTGTTTATGCTGAATTTAAAAGATGATCTTAATACTTATTATATTACTTTAAAACTTGTTTATCAGTATGACACTTGAACAGATTCAGACTTTTTATGAAAATTCACTTGTTTTTATACCACATTGAGACTATTGATAGTAAATGGAACTTTCTTAAATTCCTGTGTAAATTGTTTCGAATCTTTTTATAATTGAGAATGATGTCCCAATGGCGTTAAAATGTTAAAAGTGACTGTTTTGGAGTTGACAGGGGTAAAATAAGGGAACAAGCAACTTTCTGGGCAACTAACAATAAAATTAATTCACCTATGGAGGTGAATTAATTTTCTTGTTAAATCTTTGTTAAAGCTGATGTTTTAACAAAAAGATAACACTATTTTTTTCTGAACAACTGATTTTTTTAACAAAGATATTTAACAAAAAAAATAACAACACTTTGTTAATTTAACAGAACTTTAACGTTAACAATGTTTGAACAACAGAATTGCTTAACAACAAAATTTAACACGGAATTTAACAATCTGTTGTTAATTTAACTATGATTTCATTGTTAAAAATTTAACAAAAGTTTTGAACAACTGGGCCATGATCTTTTAAAACTTGCACACATTTTGTTCGGTATTATGATGAAATGAAATATGTCTACCTTTCTTTCACAAAAAGTTCATTTCGTATTTATTTATCGTGGATGACTTAAGGCTGAAATTGTATTACTGTTGTTTATTTCAGCTGTAAACGGACTAGTAAGGGAGATGGGAAATTGGATAATCCACATGAGAGAAAAGGTATTGTTTGTTTTGCTACTTTTTTCCATGTTTATCTATTTTATCTATTTTTTTTCTATATAACGTTTTGAATAATGGATGTACGTTAATTTGTACTGTTCATCTTTTCATTACTTTCTTTTTATTTATCGCAATACATGTTCTGCTAGAATTCAAATTGTTAAACAAATAAGTTGTTTTGGTGTTTTATTTAAAATAAGCAATGCAATACTTCAAAAACAAAAGATTTATAGTACGAGTATTACTTCATGTAGTTCTTTTACGTATATGTATATCTGTATTTACAGTACAAAATGATATATACATTTTTCATATAGTATTTGATATATGTGGTATACAAAAATAGATATCAAATTTTGAGAAAACGATTTATTTCACGACATTGTACAAAAGGTTACTTTCCCTTGTTTTTGCTTTTGTTTTGTTGTTGTTTTAAATATACGAGGATTGTTTGAGAAGTTCGTTTAAATTATTCAGCAAATGTAACAGAATCTTTGAAAAACAATGGCACGTTTCTAAATGCAACCCCTATCTTATGTCGGGATATATTATGCTCAAAATTTCTAGAGAATATTTATCATTGCTATACGGTCTCCTTTAGATGAAAAATACAAATGTTACGAGTGCGTACAAACAGATTAGGTAAACATTCCCTTCAGAACGTATATAGCTAAACACAGTATGAATACGTAGTGTCCTTGAAAAGAGAAGACAAAACATATTTACTTGACCTGTGAAAAAAAGCAGCTTCTCAAACCTAGTATAGCGATTAGACAATTTCCATTAGCATTTGTTAAGTTTCAAACATCTTTGTAAAATATCTTTTATAGCAAAAGATGCGCATAGTATATATTTAATGAATTAGATTCAGAAAGAAATGGTATACTTTTAGTCTTATTTTTAGTTGTTAAAACAAAACATCCGTGTAGCCAATACCCTGAACACAATTAATCGTCAATTCAAAAACAACATTGCCCACACATTCTGTACGTAGACACCAATAGAATTCACGCACTACCTGTTCTTATCAATTTATTTTTGTATATTTCATTAAAGCATTCCTGGAAAATATCCCAAATTAAGATAATTTAGAATGTTCAAAAGCCGTTTTTACTGTCCGCTTCGAACCCTTCAGGCCTTATTAAGATCTTGAAGTAACCTTAAATGAATATTTAATCGCCTTTAAAGTTAATGTTGGGGATTAATTGGGCTTCAGACATAATTTCCTGTTGCAACTGGTTGTCATCTATTCATCCAAACTAAAAATTTGAATAAAAGAAACCTTAATGAGACCGCTTCTACTCAAACGCTGTATCTTATTTTAAATTTAAAAAAACAGACTGTACATCATAACGTGAGAATAGATAAAAAAGTGTTTTGGTGACCTTGTAACTTAAAGCATAATATTCCTATTAACTTGCAAAAATATTTAAAAACCTTTCGTATAATTCTTGACTGCCACAATAATCATGTTGCTATAGAAACCTGTACATCTCAATTTAAAATTGTGTTTCATTTGCCTTCGAAGCATACATTGAAGGTAAATTAAATGTATACACTCAGATTCAATGATACTGAATCACTGTAATAAAGTATGTTACAAAAGTAAAAGTCTTTCCAGACAAGCATATTTTTTATGTATCAACTAGCATAATATTTAGTTTCTTAATGGCATGCTAATCAAATTGCAATAAACTTGATACTAGTTCAAGTATTGTACTTTAAACATAATTTAATGAAAAGTGTACAAGCGATTGTAACGATAGGCAGTTCATAACAATTTGATGCAATTCGTGTTTCCATAATTTATATAAACTTTTTTCAGAACTTGTGAAAAAGACCTTACAACCGGCGAATACATACCAAATTGAACGAAGTTTTCATAACAAACGGTCATTACACAACTGTCGTTCGTAAGTTTTAGTTTTCTAATGTCAATGTAACATAAGATATGTTTACAGTGTATAAAACATCATTTTAATTAGTCGAGCGCTGTTTTGTAACATTCAATTTTAACAATTTGAATGACACTTAACTTTATGGTACTGCATTTCTGTTTGTTTTTTTTTTTTTTGTTTTTTTTTTCATTAATGATTCAGAATATTAACTTAATTTTCTTTTGTTTTTCTTTGTTTTTTTGTTCAGGGATCAAGCATCTCCAGAAGGAAATACGGATCTTGACGAAAATAAGAGTGACCTATGACATACAGAATGCCTTTAGGGCCATCGCCTTAGAATGTGTTGATCTAAAACGCGATAGCCGATAGTACGATGGTGAAAACGCGAAATTACGAAACTACGATGGTGAAAACGCGAAAGTACGATGATGAAAACGCGACAGTACGATGATGCAAATGCGACATTACGATGATGAAAACACGACAGTACGATGGTGAAAACGCGATAGTACAATGATGAAAACACGCAAGTACGATGATAAAACGCGATAATACGATAGTGAAAAGCGGTAGTACGATGATGAAAACAGACAGTATCATGATGAAAACGCGAAACACGTTAAAACGATGGTGAAAACGCGACAGAAGATGATGAAAACACGATAGTTTATCGTATTATCATCATCGTACTGTCGTATCATCGCGTTTTCGTTATCGTACTGTCGTGTTTTCATCATCGTACTGTCGCGTTTTCACCATCGTAGTTTCGTGATTTCGCGTTTTTTATCATCGTACTGTCGAGTATCGCGTTTCAGATCAAACCATTCATAGGCGATGTCCCTAACGGCATTCCGTAATGACCCAACCAAAAACTTAAGAGATTTACAATATTGTATATAGATGGTCCAGGGATATGTGGATAAACCGAGCTAATAAATAATGCAAAAACAAAACTATGTTAAAATATGATTTCCCGGTTCAAGTTTATGAGAAAAAAACTGCTTGACAACGTTGACATCAGTCATTTGCCAAAATGATAGCAGAGATGTCAACCCAAAGGAAAGGGGAAGCAAGTTTGAAAACTGTTTCTACAATGCCTACAGAGGTTGAGGTACCTTTGGAAACGATGTTGTCATATAGCAAGGAATGGTTGAATCGGCCGGAAAGTAAAAGAATGGTGTGTGTAAATGGGGCTTTAAACCTGCAGCATATTTCTTTCGTAAACAAGAATTTTTTTCTGCCATAATTCTGCAATAGTGACGAATATTGAAACATGTCTTCTTTTATTAAAAGCTTGTACCGATTTTTTAATGTTTAGATAAAAGCACGCATAAACAGTGTTTTGCAGGTTATTTTGTTTGGTTTTATTAACTTGTCAATTCCATATTTATTACACGGTCAATGCACACAATATATTATCTTCGAAAGATTTTCGGTAATTTCCGTGAGATGTACTCAGTGAGATTTGATTAAATATAATTTGTGCCTATGGAGCATTTATACCGAGCGGTATAGCGGAATAGGGTAAGCTACAGGTTAATGATTTCTAAGTGTCCTTATTGTTGTGAGATCGAAACCGCGTATCTCCAATGTTTTTTCTTCTTCTTCTTCTTCTTCTTCTTCTTCTTCTTCTTCTTCTAACTATTTTCAATATTATCGGAACTATATTTGCTTGTTATGTTTTTCGTTTTGATTTAATGTGTTTAGCGATTTAATTCCTTTTAAATAACATGCTTTCAGAATTAAAATTTATAATGAATTCGAATTAAAATTAGAAAATGTCATTTCAATGGCGTAAAACACAATACAAATTGAGACAATATTTCTTAGTTGATTCATATATGTGTAGACAATATTGGAAACACTCGGCCATTTTCATGAAAATATACTGCAAAAATAAAGAAAAAGAGTAGGCCTTAAAACAACGGCAAAAGTAGGGATCAAACTACATACCTATATTAGACATTTATTAAACAATCACTCTACCGTCTCTGCTATCGCGGATTTGACATGGCCTATTCATTAAGCTGATGTGACTTTTCAAAACATTAGTTATTTACTCCATATTAATTCTCGTAAACTACACGGACAGAACCGAAGTGAAATCGAATATTTAAATGAGTGCTATAATGTATTCAAAATTGACGGGTCTATAAAATCAGACTACATGTTAGATAAGGAGATAACAAGTCACGTATGCATGCAGACATGAGGGGAAAGGTGATCAAATAGAAAGTTTGAATTGTCACTATATGATTCGCTTAGGCTTATCTTAAGATCAATATAATAAAATCATTGACAATATATTTTCAATAAATGTTATGTATTTTCTCTGTTCTTGTTTTTGACGTTTGAGTTATATAAACGGACAAACACTTCTTAAAATGCTTTTTATAAGATAGCTCTCAATGGGTGAACATCGATTTAGTGTAAACTATTTGTGGACAAATCAAAATGTTTAACTTGTTAAAACAAGTAAAATTGGCCGACATGTAGTGGCAATTTATAATGTGATATTTTTTAATTGCTGAATCAGTCATTACTTCAATTTACATTTGTAGCAGGTAAACTGGAAAGTAACTGTTTAAATTTCAAATGTATGTTTATATTAAATGTTTCATATTTCGTATCTTATGACGTTCCGTGTTTTGTTTTCTCTTTTATATAAATGTTGACCTGCCAGATCGACAAACCAAATTAGCGTTGTATGTCAATATTGCTGTATGTATCAGCGAGGCTACCTTAAACAACTTTTTTACTAAACTTAATATAGTCAAGTATTAGTTAGTGTTCATTACTAAGAATTTACACAGTTTAATTGGTCAAGGGCAGCGAAGGAAGGCAATTTGCTTTAAAAAAACCTTTATAGTTCCCCTCCAAAATCCTCGTTTGACTCATTAAAAAGATAAAGCGGAGTACAAGGCAAATGTTATATTCGGACAGATTATTTCGCTGTGTTAAATATCACGTAGCCAGACCCTGGACAAGTGTTATGTGTTTTGGTACTCAACTCTACTCAGACGATTACTTTATTGTGATATCCTGTTCATAAAAAGTAGACATATTTGCGATGTGATAAAAATCATAATTTTAAATATTATTGCCTTTCATCTTGGCATTAAAGATCCTGTAACACATTTTTATGGTTTTATATCATAAATATGATGCTTATATTAAGATTGATCAATTTTCTTAAGTTCCAAAAAACATTATTTATAAAGATATTACCGAATTTAACATTTCATGTAAATAAAAGGGAGGTAATAATAAATTCACTTTCTATTAAATGTCTAAGTCATTTTTTTCCATAAGAAATGAATGCATATATTTTAATGATTACATATTTATATGTACAAATATTTCAGTACATGTTTTACATATTCTTCGATGTTTGAAAATTGCTTTATAAACATAATTATAAATATACATATAATTTCACTTAAGTGTGGTATGCAACCTCATTTCAACATACATCTTTAAAAAGAAAACATATAATGCAAATTGAAATTAATGCATTGGTGAGTAACCTTCAAAATTTATTGACAATTCTTTATCAAGCTAGATGGTTTGAAGTTGACCCTTCATGTGAAATGGTCAGAAACGTACATTTCTCATCGAAATTAGTCGGCATATGATGCAGAAATGAATGAATAAGTTGTACTTCTTTAGAAAGGGGACAGATAAGTTTTGTATCGTCCAAATAATGTAAAATATATGTTGCCTGACGGAAAGAGCGATCAAAGTAAAATTATTTGACATAAAGCAAAATGTAAAACAAAGTATTATTTTTACTTTGAAATTCATAAAATATACTGATTTAAAATCAACATAACTGTAATGATTGCCAGAAAGTAACAGGAGAAAAATATGGTTCAGGTAATTGGCCAATGATTGACTTTTTTAAAAACAAAACGGCACAAAAGCTACCAAAAATTAAAAAAAAGGTTTCGGAAATAAAAATAAATACATGTGTATGGTTTAATGTACATTTACTGATGCAAGCTTTTATTGTCTCTATACTTATTCTTGACGTTTATTAAACGCTGTACTTTTTTCTTTAATATTTTAATTAGATAATGGGTATGGGTAATATCAAAATCCGGTGTGTTTTAAACAGAAAATTAAAAAGGTTGTTTTTAATTATCGGGAAAGGGTTTTTGGCCTTTTTTTCACAGTGAAATCAATAATAGCGGGCCCCCACCCCTCTAACTAAACTTTAAAAAAAAAATCCCGTAAATGGAAAACTGATTTTTGCCCCTTATTTTCAATCGATTTATTAAAAATTTTTTTATTAAAATTTTAAAATTTATTTAAAATTAAATGTTTTACGTTTCATTTAAAATTTTTAAAACCCTATTTCACAAAAAAAAATTTTTAAAAACACCACCCTTTCAGTTTTTTAAAAATCCATAATTAATTTTCATTGAAAACAGCTCCCAATTTATTTTACTTTAGACAAACAAATTTAAAAAAAAAGTCAAAAAAAGGGTTTTCCCAAAGAACCCATATAAAATTTAAAAAAAAATTGAAAATTTACCCATACAATTATTTTAAAAATGTTGCTTTTGCAGATTAAATTAAACAATCTCGTAATCCTGTGTAATACTTTGGTATCAGGCAAGGAGACGAGTCACCCTCTTGAATTCTGCTTAAGCCGGTGCTAGGGTGAGTGGACGGTAACTTGCACATTCTAGTACTGTCCATAAACAGGCTCAATCAAACAGAGTCTGCAACATTGTCAATTTTGCCGTGCCGGGCTTTCTGTAGAGATTCTGTTTTTCATTAGTCTATTATTAAATTGTTTTTTTTTTTGTTTTTTTTTTTCAGCAACATAGGTTGCCCATTTATTTTCCCCGTAATTGGTACAGTGGGGTCGGAGAGCCATCCCTTACTGTACCTTACATTATCAATTCATGGCATATATCATCATATAAAAATTAAAACATTTAAGTGACATTAAGCTCATTTTTTTTTCAATGTCAAGTTGAGTTTTATTGACTATAAATTTCAATATTGACAATAATAATGGTGCTTGACAACAGTTGATATAAGAAAAAGATTTTGGATAAAATACATATCTGCCTAAAAACATAAAGACTGCCCCATACTTTTATTAAGTATAATTTTTCCCTCTACAGATATTTCCAAAATGTTCCTTGAGCCATAAGAGTTACCGGAATATATTGAAAAACTGAGACGAATCATGGCAAAAATGTATTTCAACTTTCACTGTTTATTCACTATTTGCTTTGGATGGGCATAATGTCACTTTAACTAAATAGATACAATATTGATATGCTAAAAT